TGGGGAATTCTGGGAGTTGAAGTCCACCCATCTTCAAGCTGCCATGGTTGAGAAACACTGCCCTACTGTATTTTTTTTTTTTTTTAACGATATAGGAACTCATTCACAGTTTGTACTAATTACTCTCTGTTTTGGCTTGATACATTTGGTGAGCCCATCACTGTTCTCCAAACAAGCAGCAAGCTGGACTTAAAATGACAAGGGAGTGCAGGCAGAGAACAAATGTCTCTCCAAGGGAGTGAATTTGGGTCATCCCACCCCGGCCGCAAAGCCCAGTGACTAAGGAAGCCCTTCTAATACCCCAGATGAAGGTGGGTCTCTAAGACTTCCTTAGTGACGTGTACTGGGCGACTGCCGGCTCTGAGAAACTAGAATCTAATTTCCACCATTTTTCAGGAGCCAGCCGGAAGGGAAAACTGAACCAGGCAGCCAGAGGGCTTCTCCCCATCCTGCAGAGATGGGGGCAACTAGCAGCAAGCCGCCTTTGCGGCCTTGAAATGGGCCTTTCCGCCTGCAGAATTCCCCCCGGCTTGAGGAAAGCCCTCCTAGAGCACAAACAGCAGCTGGCAAGAGAGGCCGAGGGGAATCGGAGGATGCACGGACTGCCATTTGCACCAGGTAGCGGCTGGGCTCAAACCCACCAGAGCACAGCCAGCTGACCGTGTCATGCTCAACGTGTGCGGACTCGGCCAGCGTGCCAAGTCTATGCTTCGGTGCATCATGTGGACAACAAAGTCTGGGGGAGCTGCGTTAAGTCACCACGCCTTGGGTGGCCTGATAAATGATACAGAAATAAACGTGCCAGCGGCGAGCTGCCCATTCGATTTATAGGCCGCCTTCCGTTACTTGGTCTCCCTGGAGGGAAGGTGTCCCAGGAGCCCAGGCAGAGATGAATTTTACCTGAGCGTGTTATGGAAACCCAGTTCTGTCTTTGTCGTGGACAGACCACGAAAGGGGCAGACACGAGAAAGCAGGAACTCAAAGGCTATAAAGTCGTCGGCGCCTGCTAAGTCAGACGCACACCTGGAAAAGCAGAAGGCTGCAGTCGCTCAGCAGACTGCCTTCTCTTGCCAAGCCAGGAGGGTCTCCAAGATCGACTGACATCCAAACACCACTGAGCAACCCCCGAGTCCTTCGATGGAAAGAGATCCGCCTCGCAGGAAGGTACATTGCATTTTTTAATCGGCTGACCCTTACGCCTAGACCTGTTTCCCCAGGAACCAGCTCCCCCCAACATCCCAACGGAGTTCTTCACGCTTTCCTTTTGAATGCTGCAGCAGCCTGCACAAATTCCTAGCAAGGAAGGTTACAAAGGGCAGGGTCTCCCGGCAGCCCCCTCTCCCCCCGGCAAGGTCCTGACGCTCCTCG